ACATTTTGTACATACATCTACCTCGAAACATTTTTCTATAGATATTCATTGAAAACGAAAATACTAAAAAAAATTAAATTAAGTACGTTTCCTACAATTTTTCCATTACAGTGCATTTTAGAAAAATCATGTATAAATAAAAATTATAGAGATCGATATCGCAAACAACTTTTCAACAATTTTCATAAAAATCAGAATTTTGCACATTTTGTCAAATTTCTCGAATACGGACCATTTCAGGAAATTTTGACAAAAAAGAAAAATTATATATAATAATATTAGAAGTAACTTTTATTTGAAAAATTTTTTTCTCCAAACAAAAATAACAGATATATTCCATAAAATATGAAGACGGCCTCCCATAAAGTACCCAACCCCCCCGATGTTCCGACTTTGTTCAAAATCTAATTATTTCACGTCAGGCCGAAATAAAACTTAAGTTTAAAATTTAATGTTTTTTTCTTTATCCGTTTTTAAGTTTTCTTCAAATTTCGAAATTTACACATTTTCTCAAATATCTCGAATACGGTCCATTTTAGAGAAATTATGTATAGGATAAAAATTATAGAAAATTTTAATGTTGAAATACATGGTCATACATACTTGATGAAACAAAATTTGATTTTTCTCGAAAACGGTCGACTTTAGAGCGTATGACCATAAGTACCTTTTCTGTGTAGAAAACATTGGCGGTTCAAATGGGCGTCTCAAAACCGTACTTTTTCCAGTGGCGTAGAATTTTTTTTTTTCAATTTCAACACCCTGTATCTCGAAAATGGTGCATTTTAGAGGGTAAGTTAATAGAAACGTTTTTTCATATTTTTGAACGGGCTATCACGTCCTGAAGTCCTGCGCATATATTATGAAAAACCCTGTATATATATATTTTTAACTTTTGACTTAAGTCTTACTCAGATTTTATTTTTACACATATTTATAAATTGTAAGTTTACATCCACAATTTTTGTAGATAAGCACTGATGATGGCACCATGCCGAAAGCGCTTTGCATTTTATAATTAAAAAAAATTTGCACGAAATACAAGTATTTCCTATTGAATTTATATCGTTAAGTACAAGTCTTTTCTTTTTAATCTAAACTACGTGCACACAGCCGTCAACCTTTTTTTGGTTATTTTCAACTTATTTAAAATTTTAAAAATAATATTCGTCGGGTGATCAAAATATGAAGTGTGATTGGTGGATTTAATCTTTTTGCAGTGTTCTCACTATATCGAATTAATATAAAATATATTCGTTCAGTTAATGGCAATAGTATACTTTTTCGTTTTGTAGTCTGTGCGTAGATAAGCTAATATCCATGTGGGTGTAGAATTTTTTTTTATAGTTTGACACATTGGCAATTGTTGGTAAATTGGTGATAGTAGAAGACACTTGCTTTAGTGGTCACAACGTTTATACCTTACAAGTAGTTGCTGGAGAAAATAGCTAACTGAAAAAAAAACCGAATGAATCGACCATGCTTTAAATTAGTGATGACATAATTTTAGTTCCACTGACTGGTTTCTAGAGAAAGTAGATGACATTATGAACTGCAAATAATAAAAAAAAAATCGCAAAAACGTACAAATATTGTTAAAAACTACCAGTGGATCAAAAATTACGTCACATTTTTATGGCGTATTTTTTCACTCAATCGACTATCATGTATGGTGCTTGACATACATTTATGTTTACTAACGGCTATGTCAAATATATTAATTGTAAAAGTATAAGCTAATATCTCTTGGAACGTTTTAAAATGAACCGAAAATATTTATTAAAGTTACATATAGAAATAATCTCATTAAATATAACTCGGCCTTATTAAATTAGCGCCTTTTTCTATTGGTCTCTACATAATTTTGTCATTAATAATTAAAGCTAAAGCTCTTAAACTCTATTAAAAATAAATTACTAATGACAAAATTATATCTCGACAAATTGAAATGTTATTATTTATCGTTTCTTCACAAGAATCGCTGATTTTTTTAAATATATTTAATCTCATTAATTCAAAAAGTTACTGACAATTAGCAATTAGCCGAAATTCGAAAATTTTACTTTTAGAAGCGGCATACCTTTGATCAACCACTATCTTATTGTGTATTTATGTCGTTTGACCATTTTTTCCAAGCTGAAATTCGATTTCCAAGTTTTATTTTTCGAATTTTCACACTACTTGGACACATAAAAATTATTTTAGGGGGTGGTCAAACGTCAAAATATAATTTTAAATCGTTATGGATCTTTACTGTAAACTTATGTCCTTTGACCATTTTTTCCAAGTAAAAATTCGATTTTCAAAATTTATTTTTCAAATTTTCACACTACTTAGAAACACTAAAACTATTTTAGGGGGTGGTCAAACATCAAAACATAATTTTAAACCATTATGGGGCCTTATTGCGCATTTATGTCGTTTGACCATTTTTTCCAAGCCGAAATTCGATTTCCAAATTTTATTTTTCGAATTTTCACACTACTTGGCGCACAAAAATTATTTAAGGGGATGGTCAAACGTTAAAACATAATTTTAAATCGGTATGGATCTTAACGCTAAACTTATGTGTTTTGGCCATTTTTCCAAGTGGAAATTCGATTTCAAATATATATTTTTCGAATTTTCACACTACTTAGAAACACTAAAATTATTTTAAGGGGTGATCAAATATCAAATTATAATTTTAAAACTTTATGAATATTTAATATGTCCTTATGTCGATTGACCATTTTGTTGAACTAAAAATTGGATTGGGAAATGTTTCTTTTGAATTTTTAACCTCTCTGAGGTCTTTTAAGATATTTTAGGGAGTGATCAAACGACGATACATAATTTTTAACGTTCTTGAATCCTATTGTGCCTTTCTGACCATTGATCTATCTTTCAAAGTTGAAATGCATCCCAGAACTCTTGTTTTTCTATAATATACCCCCTTTAAATTATTTTACGGGGTATTAAAGAAAATCTAAGTCAGTTTTAAAAAATATTAACTTCGGGAGGCCAGCGGGCACTCAGCCATTAATATATTTTTTTAAATATTTAGGTTTCTGAAGATGGTCAAAAAAAAATTAGTGGCTGGTCAAACATGGTCAATAGGTGGTCAAACGTATGTTGCTTCTAAAGCTAAAATTTTAGAATTTTGGGGGGCTAGCTTTACAGAGCTAGGTGGAATGAATATAAAATATAATCATTCAGTCGAACGCAATGGTCTACTTTTTCGTTTTGTAGTCTGTGCGTAAAGTATTTAATATACAAGTGGGTGCAGAAAAATTATTTTACGTACGCACCTACTTTGTTCGGGGGTAGTGTGGGACTCTAGGTTCTATTAATCACTAAAAAGCTCCTTCTATTTAACCTCTCCCGGGACTACCTTCACGGTATAACGTCTATCGTCTTTAAAAATCTCTCTCCTCTATATATTCCTGCTTAGGACTTCGATAATAAAACAATGTCGTTGGAAACATAGGATTTACTCAACCTCCCCCTCTAAAATTGGTTCCATCATCTGGAAAGTTGATGCTCTTAGTTATTTGGCATGCTGAAGAGGTAATTTACAGAAGGGAACTACTATTGCAGTAAAGCGTTAAAAGAAAAATATCGTTCAAATATGCATTCAATTTTGCTGTCCCATCAAGATGATGCTACAAGTCATACCCCTTGTATTGAAATTACGATTATTCATGAAACGTGATTCCAAACAGTAAAACACCCACCCTATTTATTAGATTTGACTCATAGTGAATACATAATGTACTCAAAACTAAAAAAAAGAATGATGTTGCTAGCCGTAAATGAATGTTTCGAAATATTCTTTCAGGGAAGAAGTATAGGGATCAACTCACCTATACCTTCATTTCTCATTGAATTATAGAAAGCCCTCATATTTTCCCGACCTCAATAGGATTTTTAGATAATTTGAGTTGTGAAAATGAACTTACATATTTCAGTAGTTCTCAGCTTTTGTTGTACAACGCGGATTTGTTTTGTCTGTTAACTTTACAAGGAAATCGAACGTCAACGCTCCATTATCCCTATTTTAAATACGCTTTAACATATTGTGGATAGTATCCCAAATAAATCCTTTTTAAGCTTTTCAAAGATGAAAAGATAATAATAAGAATTATAAACCTACCACAACATAAGAGTAAAATCTATAATTTGACAAAACTCAATAATTTGTCTCTTTTATCTAAATAACGTCTTTTGGCAGAGTCTATATACTATATAATTTATCTTTATTTCGAGAAAGAATGGCCATATTCCCAAACATACACTATGAAACTGTGATTTACGGTGAAACATATATCCCACTTTCCAAAAAAACTTTCATTTCATGTCCATTCAGTCCAAGGCTTCTTCCCTAAGGGATACCGAGCGTTTCAATGCCAGAGACGGTTTCTTAAATGTCTCTTTTCTTTATAAATCCAGTAGTAGTCTAACATAATATCAAACTATTATTTTTAGTTTTCCTCAAGAAGTTTTGTCTTTCAACTAACGGGTCGTGATAAAGTTATAGAGAATTTTTTTATATTTCTCTCTATACGAGAGTTACGACAAAAATTCTAATGAATTAAACCCAAAATTATTTGTTTAATGTAAGAAAAATAATAATTAGTGGAGTCAGAAATAAAAATTACCAAAATCACTTTGTTAAAATAATTTTATTCATTTAAAATTGGTACTCACATTATATAAAGAACAAGGATATTATCATTATGAGTAAAGGAACAGCCAACCCTTTTTTAGCCTTAAAAGGTATTAATATTTTATCACGTTTTTTTTTTCTTGTAAAAATACCAAAGGACAAATTGTTATGCCAAAAACGTTCAGCAGTTAGTGTGATTTAAATTATTATAACGGACTAAAAATATTGAACATTTTTATCATTATAAGTATTTTGTAAGAATGATGAGGATAAATTGAACATTATTCGAGTCGATTTAACAACCTAGTACGGCACTGTATAAACGACAGTCTCATAATTTTTTTTGTTTCAGGACTTCTCTCGTGGGACCTCAACGAATGCTTGGTGGACCTAGAAAAAGAATTAGCTATTATCACCGAGCAGGCTTTGGAAGGAGAAGAAGCCAGATACGGTGAGTTTAATACAGTGTTTGTAAAAAATAATGCAATTTATAAATCAAACTTAATGCAATAATAGAGCAACTGGATAAGGAGTATAATTATTCTCATAGAAAATTCAATGGAGACCTGTTTTTTGTTACAAAGTTTTATAAACCGATTATATTGACTGCCTTAATCAGCAAAAAATGTTTCCTGGATGGAGATAGAACTTACTTGTTGCCAAACAAACACGTGATTTTATTCGGCGATGAGTCTAGCATGTTACTTATTCTTATTATTAATAATTTTAATCGTCTTTATTATTTTCAAAATACAACATCGTGTTGTACCTTGATCTATATGGTAATGCACCTTGAGCCAGGATATAAAAACAGCAATAATAAAATTAAATTTTATTGTTTTGATTTTTTTAAAGCATAAGGGCTAAGATTTACGGCAAATTTGAAATATGACTGCTAACGAACCGATCCTCCAGTGGCCATTGGAGGAGGTAATTTCAAAATCACGTCTTTTTCATCAACTATGTAACTTCTGGCTAAATCATCCAACAAAAATTTGTTTGCCCCGGCAGTTTTTTTTAGGTTAATAATACATATTTTGGGTTTTACTGTCAAAACATTGGCCACATAATATCCAAAGCTTTTTTTAACGGACACTTTGACCAATAGGTATTCACCTTCGTTGATAGTTTCAGTCTCTAATTACTTTTCCAGTCGCTGGGCGTTTACTTTGTCAGTCAAACTACTATCGTCATCAGAAGTCATCTGATTCGTCTGACATGTCTAAGTTTTTTGCCAATGTTGGCTCAGGTTTTTTCTTGAAAAAGTTTCTCTTAACTGCCTCAACTTTCTTTATTATTTTCAAATCCTTCAATAGTTTAGCCTCTTCTAATTCTTCTTTTGCAGGAGTGTCGGTAAAGATTCTTCGTTTTCCTTTTAGTCCCCCTCGGTTCATGGATTTTTTGAGCAGCGGACTTAGGGGACACAAAACGGGTAGAATCTAAATAATGATCGTCGACGTCAAGTTCTGCAGGGGTTCGAGTAAATGAAATGGACGGTCCAGATTTAACCTCTGCGATGGCTTTACGTGGTTGATTTAGGTTGTTGTCTTCTGGCATAGATCGTTCAATGACAGTGGATGGAAGAAAGTCCTCATCGCCAAAAATGTATTCATTTAAAGGAACAATTCCAGAAATTCTGAATCCACTAATAATATTCTTTGGGACAGAACTCAGAGTGTAGGCCTTCCATACCATCTCGGCGATTTCATAAATTATCAGAAGTTTTCCGGAATTTTCTAAACTCATCATCCACTTATTTACAGCATTGTTATAAAAAGTTTTAAAGGGGCCAAAGACGCCTAAGTTAGGCGGTTGCATTTTATGGCTTATATGGGGATGAAATTTGAGCCATTATCAGAATCACAGGGTCATCAGTAGAGGGATTAGAATACCCAATAAAGTGATCCAAGAACTGGAGAAAAAGATGCTCATTTGACCATCTCGAAGAATTTGCAGCTCCAATTGCACGAGGGACCTCCTTTCATCATAAAATCATCCTTGGAAAAATGATAAAAATTGCCGATGAAACTGATTGCAGCAATCATGGTTACAAGGGTCCCCCTCTCATCAGATGTAATACTACCAATTTGCTTCACACCTTTTTATGCTAACACTTTAAGTGGGAAGTGAACGGTGGTAATTCCAGGGGCCCTTTTATCCAAGTTGAACGATGTGATGTGATGTGGGATGTGAAGTGTCCTATCACCAATTTGTTCTCTTGGTCATCATATTTGGTATTCTTGAAACAATCACATCTTATAAGTTCACGAAACACCGCTGCCAAATTTAAGTTGTGCGTTAAAACTATTTTAGAAGGCACTTTACTTCAATTTTTTATTATTTTTTGATAATTGTAATAACAGATTATATTTTCCATTATTTTCTATTAAATCCCGTGTAAAAGGTTTACTTAGACGAATATTTTGTATGAATATTCGGTCACTAAAGTCAAAAGGATCCTCTTTTCTTAAAAAATTCTATTTGGTCGATTGGCATCTTCTTCCGCCTCAGCTAGATCATTCAAAGTATAAATATAAATAAGATCTTTGTCCAAATCTATTTTGATTAAAAAAAAGTGACGTTTTGATAGCACATGACAATGACAGTTCTCCCAATGTTCTTCCGAAATGATGCTCTTCTACTGGTTTTGACTAAGAGAAGTAAGTTCTCTCGATTTTCATGCGAAGTGATTATTCACTTCAATTCAAGAATACCACTCACACACTTTTTAAGAGAACGGCTGTCCAGTTCGTATAAAATGATCATTCTCTCAACTGGAGAATAGACCCCCTGTTTCGTTGCAGTTCCATATTCGCTCTGGGGCTATTGTAGGTCTTCTTTCCAATATTTTTTTGTAATTGGCAAAAAAATCGAGTCACGCCTAACTTGTTAAAACCTGTTGATCGCCCAAGGCTAGTTGCTTCCGATTTACGTAGTGATCATTCTTTATTGAATCTTTCTCTATAACCTCGTAACCATGACTTTACAGCCAGTTGCTCCGCGTCACACTTATCCGGATATTTTTTCAAATTTGCTTTCGCGTATTGAGAGGCCAATGATCTAATTTCGTGCAAAGTCAGACCATAATACTGCCTCCTTTAAGTACGAGACAAGTTCAGTTTCTTGATTAGAGAAAATCTTATTTACATCATAGTGAACGATGTATTCGAACTTTTCATCATTGGATTCGCAAAATGTTTTGACATGCCTCATGAGGGTATGCCTTGACATCTTGTGTATTTTAGCTGCTTCCCGATATGACACTCTATTCTTTAAAATGTCCTCGACTGCCCTTTCCGTATCATCTTTCGAGACTAAGCACCGTTTTAAACCTTACTTACTACGTGGCATCATCTGAAATGAAGTAATCAAGAATAAAATTCTAATTTTTTTCATATACCAGTTAAGTTATACTACGAAAATGATGTACCTTGACCCGGTGCAAGGTACAGCACCGAGGCCTGGCTCAAATTACAGCACATGTCGTGTGTTTAAATAAATCAATGTCAGGATTTTTAGGTTAGGAGATGACTAAATATAATATTACGGATTGATGGCGAAGACAACATAATATCTAAGATTGCTATCGCGGAACAACTCTAAGCAACAATTAACATGTAATTTACAAAAAATCTTACCTCGTTTTTTTCACTTTTCTGGCTGTAAAACAATTTTCATAACAAAACTCACAAACAACGCTTTACATTCAACTGATTTTCGGGTATAGCCAGCTACTGAAATATGATAGTTTAACTCTTACGCATGGATGGTGTGCGACTAAAATTAGCGCGAAAAATGAAAGTGGGTCAAGGTACAAACATGTACAAAGTACGTCACTTTCCCCTACAATTAAACTCATGAATACATAGGGCGAAGTTCATTTTTTCTACTGAAGAGCTCCGTAAAATAAAATGTTCTTTCACTTAACCCAACAAAAGTGTCTACATGTCTGAGGTTTATCACAAAAAAAAACAAAATAAACCATGCAATAATAGTAAAAAATAAAAATAGATTTTGTGAGGATTGTGTACAACAGAGATTAGCTACATTGTTTATTAAATAGGAGGACTTTCAGCTTAGATTTAAATGTAAACATACAAAGATTTTTTAAATTTCTAGGAACAGAGTTATATAACTTTAATATTTGATATTTAAATGATCGTCTAAAAACTTCGAAACGGTGGCGGCGTCAGTAAACCTTTAAATTTAAAATTTAGTTTATGTACATCTGTTCTAAAAGTTAGTTTATTACATAGATACATTGGGGTTTTATACAGAATAAGTTTGTGATAGGGGTAGAAGCATGGTGGATCCTTCTATATTCCATGTTCAACCACCCAATTTCCCGAAGTTTATATGTTAATTATTCTTTGATGACTTTTTATGCCGTAAATTAGCCTTAGGAAACAATTTTGAATTAATTGAATTTTATAAGTTGTAGTTAAACTTGGACCATAGACGGTGTCTACAAAATTGAAATTCGATAGTACTAACATTTCACAGAGGGTTGTTGTAATATTCTGATGCAGAAGATTAAGGTTACCATATATTCATTTTATTGGGCTATATGCACGCTGAATTGGCTTATTAACATGTTTTTCGAATCAGATCCGAGTCAATAATGACTCCTAAATTCTTAGCTTCATTAACTAGAACTAAAGGACATTGTACTTGAGTACGACTTGAGTTAGTACCAAAAAGCATTAGAATGAAGAATAATTTTCTGACCATAGTAGAAATTTATACATAAAAAAGCATTATGTTAGATTTTGTAGGATTTTTCATTAAACAATGTTCAGATGCTGCCTCAATAAAAGCATCCAACTCTTGATTTATTAATGCACAAGCATTTTCTGATAAATAAAGGGGGAAACTGTAATAGATCTGAGTGTCGTCAGCATAAAGATGAATTTTACATTTATCTAATGAGCTTATTATTTTTGAAGTATATACAGGGTGTATCAACGATGCGTGGGTGACCGATAGCTGCTTCCCTATATGAGATAGGAAAAAATGCTTCAAATAAAAGTTGTAGAGGGCATTGAAAGCTACGTTGCAAAAATAACTACCAATATACAGGGTGTCCGATAAATGTATGAGTTATCGAAGTAATGTTTTTTTAAAGGAAACACCCTATATATTTTTACTCGATTAAATTTCTTTGGAAGAGTTTTTCTCAAAAATATAGGGTTGTATGGGTTTATACTGGGTGGTTAGGAATTTATGGTGGGATTTAGGTAACAAAATGAGTTTATTCAACATCAAATATCTCTAAATCAATAATTTGGAATAATTTTTTTTTTCTGCCGAATATTCTCGAAAATAGTGTATTTTCATTTCCTATTCAAAATTTTACCGAATGGCGCTTTTCCCATACAGGGGCAACCAAAACTCGGGACCACTTTTTTCTCAGTTTTTTCAAATGGAACACCCTGTAAATGAGGCCATACC